TTCTACTTTTTGACTTTATGTGAGAAACAGTCACGATAGTAATCAAAATCGATGGCGTTGATGATTTTTTCAAGAGATGTGCCAGTGAAAGATAAAGAGAAGTAAGTACAAGTGCCCGCACGATTTATGTCCTGTCGATTATGTTTTTATGGTAAGGTCAAAGGTCATAAAGACAATGGTAGATGATTCAGTTCTATCTCTTCCTTTTTAAAAAGTTCTCTGTTGTAATTTGCTGTGTAGTTTTGACCTCTGATTTTGATTTTTACAGTAACGGTTTCTGAGCGAAGTGAACGAGTCTTGCAGTGCATCAGCATAGTCTTTTTATCCGGTAGTATTTTTAGGATGTGGATGTCTAGCTCAGCAGTATTTTTGCCAGAACAAAACAGCTACTTTCTACAATATTTATTTTCTACAATTTACATTTCTGCAATTACAATTCTACAATTTCTACAATATTTAGAACACAACAATATTTCTTTATACTGGAGGTGGATTAAACGCAGATATTCCAGGATTTTTGACTGCTACTTTTTCTTTGCTTAAACTTGCCAACATAGGAACAAAAGAACGCTCCTGAAAATAACCGCCTCGGTATTTTTGAGCTTTCAAACACAAAAAGCATACTTTGGTTCCCGGAAGTACGTAGTCTGGTGGAAGCCCATCAAAAGCCTTTTCTTTGTCTCCTCGTTCTTATAACTTCACCGAAGGCAAAAATGACGCGACGTCAGATCAACCGCAGATGCGGCATCAGCTTGATCACCATTCTTCAACAAATCACGCACATGACGCAAATGAATGCGAGCTTCCCTCATTGTGTAAGGCTCTAAAGGATAGAAATTGTTGCGCTACCCAAGTAACTGGAGTTTTGCGGTTACCTTCCACAACATGTAGAACACTTCCGTCTACGAGACCTACCACGGCTCGGATTTCTGAGAAACCAAGCGTAACGCCGTTCAACTGAAGGCTGAAACATGTCTTGGGACATGTCGCCTCGCGCTCTAGCAGCACTTGATGACTCTTGGCCTTGCACCATCTCGGCACTGTTAATCTGTAAAAGAACCACAATTTCATCACGCGCATCATCACAAACTGATAGCGGAAACAGAATTATATCTCAGAAATGTGGATCATGTTCATTCAATGTCAGTCATTTCGCATTTTCTAACAGTGCTTTACGCCAGTGGTAAATATCTTGAACCCTTTAGTGTTTCCCAGTCTAGACTAGTGTTTTCAATCAAGATTTACAATAAAAAAAAGCCCAATGAACTAACGCATCGCACAAATTTCATAAATTGAAAATGTACCTGAAGATCGAAAGAATCGCCAACAGTCGGTTGTATGGTCAGCGAGAACACCGTCTCTTGCGGTGGTCCCTTGGCTGCCCCATCGGCTTCCGCAACTTCACCTACAACTTTTACTTTTCCATCGTGATACAAATTGACCATAAGCAAAGCCTCCCTATATAACATCCTAAACCTACGAGCTACTTCAAATTAATGGGATACACAAGAAAGGGTTCACTGAATAGAACTAGCGAAAAAATGCAAAACACTGAAAACAGTATTGTAACAACTCAAACTGACCGTCTCTGTGAACACAATCGGGCGGCCCGCTGACTGAGGCATTTTCCGAATAGGGCAGTTGTAACTCAATGCTATCTTCCGAATTCGCCACAACTGCTGAGTCTACCTCAGCTTATGCCATACCTGAAACTTTTGCATGAATTTGTCAGTTGAACTCTAGGCCCAAGACGAATTTTGCAGTTATCACTTGAAAGTGGTAAGCAATACAGGCTATGCGCAGTTATACATTGGTTCTCAGTCTCAATTTTGAACAATACATCAAAAAATAGAATTGTCAACATAGGTTCTTGTCAGCATAGGATTTCTTAGGCCCCGGCCAGACTTCGCTCAAAAGCGCACAAATTTCTCTAATCTCTCATCACTTTATCTAGTGAGGAGAGAGGAGGAAAAATGATGAGAGACTAAAGAAATTTGGGCACTTCTGAGCGCTTTTGAACGGAGTCTTTTCTACCTTTTCTTTCCTTTTCTACCTATCTTATGAAAGCTCTCATATCCTAATACTCGCACTATGGATGACAAAACAATGCCATATGAGTTTTTCACTGTTTCGGGTGGTTCTTTAGGGGATCACCAAATCGCAGGTGAGCGAAGCAGTGTGAACGGCTTCGCCCACCTGCAATTTCTCTCCTGCGTTAGAGCCCTTTTTCGACATTTTTGCGCTCTCCAATGTGGATTTTCGCATTCGGCATAG